CTGCTTTGTTGCAGTGCCATGCTTGCAGAAAGCAGTTCGGGTTCAAGGACGTGGTCTCAAAGACCTGTTGCATACCAGGCCTCCTTGACCTCTCTGATCCTGCAACCAGGTGCCACCTGTGGCTCTGGAGCATTACTCTTATCTTGCATGGCATTTCAAGGGCACAGGTTCATGCAAAAATACCGTATGTAGGAAACCTCAAAAAAGGGGCGTAACTTTGGTGCACAGTAACCCAGTCTGAAAGGAACATGCTTTTGCCAAAATGAAACTTTTTGTCTTAAGCAGGGAGACTGTTTCCAACATGCCCTTGATTGTGAAACCACTGGAAGAGGCTCTTTACAGAGCTGCTGCAGTTTGGGCAGGCTGCTCCAATGGCTCAGCACTGTTCTCCATACAGCATCCAAGCAGAGAGATGCAAGGGTGAGTCTTTAAATGCAGACCCTAGAAAAGTCTGTGCTGCCTTGATTTCCACAACTGTAAAACTGGGGATACCAGTTATCGAACTTCTAGAAAGGACTGTGAAAAAGTGTTTTGAAAGTGTTGGAAGCTGTTCTGCTTCCAACAAAAAAACCTGTTACTAGAAATGTTCTCCTTCATAAAATGGTGTTTGCTGATTTACACAAAACTGTTGACCTTTTCTGTATCAAAATGAACACTTTGTATCAGGTTTTTTTATTTGTGTTTGGGAGGGGTTTCAGGGTCCTGCTTTATGTTCAAGCTGCAATACAGCACTGCTCCAGTGCTCATTACTTGTGTTTCCAACTGTCCCGACAGACAGGAAAATAAAAATTCAAATCCATTCAGCAGCTAGAGCAACACTTTAAATGCAAGCCATCTCCTTCACCACGGGCACAGACACACAGAATAATTATCTTAACATTTCACATAATAATGACAGAGGAGTTTTTATTCCACACCAACTTTAAGACAAGGTAACTACTTTAAAATCAAAGGTATCTGCAAATACAGGGATGTTTCTCCTTCGCATCCTCTATTTGAATGTTAAATTTTTCTGCCACTGTCCCAAACCTGGAAAATACTCCCATACAGGTAAGCAAATGCTCGACTTTTACTCAGTGGAAAAAGGACCCAGAACAAGGCACACAGTCCTGACCCAAGCATGTGCTCTCTTGCTTTCTCAAACCAAAGTCCTGTGCAGGTATTTCACAAATCTAAGTGCAGGAGGGGCTGATTCAAAATCAGTGGAAGGTGCTACCCAATTCTGGGCAGAGATCCAATCCTGAAAAAGCCCCATTTCAAAAAAAAAGCAACTGTCCCTCAGAAATCAATGGGAGTAAGGCACTCGGCTTTTGGAGATGAAATACCCTGTTGTGATCCACTCTAATTCCTCCACTTCTTGCACAAGGATCTCTCAGCTTGGCTTCTTCCAAAAGAAAGACATATTTTAAAGTATGCTTTGCATGCACAGGGACTGATAACAAACTCTCATACATCTTTTCCTCTCATTGCTCTTGCAGAAAAAAGGAGAGGAAAAATCTGTTGAAAGTACAGAGTACAAAATCCCTCTCATATCTAGAAATTATTATACAAAACTTACAACCTGGTGATCTAAGAGAGCCCTTTGAAAACATCCTTTTGCCATTTGTCACTAGTTTATCTTCTTTTTCTCCCCATTTTCTCCAGTTTCAGCTGGAAGGGCAGCAGCTGTGTTTGTTGGAAGCAAAACCATTTTACTTAGAACCACTTCAAATTGCAAGAAGGTTGACTGACGGTGTTTTGCCATTCAGAAAATGTCAGCGCATTACTATATGCAACACACTGTAACACGGTATGACCTCATGTACAAATGTCAGAAGCTTCCCGAGAGCTTCGCATCATTCATAAAGACAAAGAAAGTGTAAATCAGTGGTCTGCTAGCTCATCTCCCTTTCAATATAACTGGTCTAAGCAGGCAGTTAACTTAGCAAAAAAAAAAATTAATGAAACAGTCTGACTGAAATACTAACTGAGATAATACATGAACTGGCAAAACCTCTATAAAGCTGAAGTTACAACTGAAGCATGGGTAATAGACTGCACGTGTTGTAAGACCATCTCAGATTTGTGCTTGGGAATTTAATCACCATTTTTGTTAAAGATACACGTTTCTGATGTTTTGAAAGTTTGGCTGCAAAATGAGGTTTTCATTTTGACCTGTTGCTCTTCTATACGCACTGTTACCTTCCTGTAAAATTTCTGGATTAACAATACCTAAGTCTTCACATAGATCTTAAAGAAATTAGTTACGGGCTTGCTGCAGGAGTTGTTAGGTGAAGTTTTACAGTCTGCATTATACAGCAAGTAAGATTAGATGATCCTAATGTTCTCTTCTGGACCTAAAATCTATGAACATGTATTCTTAGACAGAAAACAAGTCTCTGAGCATGGTTACCACTTCAACCGCAGAAAAGGAAGGAGTAAAATATGACGTTTATTTAAAACATGCACTAGAGTTGTCTTTAGCGAGTAGCAACTACTAACCCTGCAGAAACATGTCACCAGGCTTCATACAAAGCCGTCAGGCATTGTACAAAAAAGTTCAGCCCAACAATCAATGGAGAAATGTGTAAGAATATATCTTTTGTATGAGACAGCGCTTGCAGCATGGGCAGTCAGTACTTTGGGGGAATGGACCACCCTCTTTAACACACAGGATCCAATGGTCACAGCCCGCTGGCTGACTCAGCACTCACACAGATGACAATAAAGAGGCAAAAAAACTCAAATCCTCTGAGGACTATGAAAAGAAGAAAAACATCATGGGAGTGTAAATCATTGACTAACAGCCTGAAAATATTGTCTGTAGATGGAAAAAGTAAAAGCAGTCATCTCCTCCAAGAACATGCATAACAAAAAAGAAGATGCTAAGAAGCCTATTAAATGAGTATGGTCCTGCTCACATGTTCAAGTTTCTCACAAAAACATTGGTGCCTCTTTCACCCACTAGCTCCCTGCTATGGAAAAACACTTCTTCAGAGTCTGGAAAATGCTGTTTGATCTCAGTAAATTACATCTCACTGCTTGTCGGTTTCTGATTGATGGTGTAACTTAGGGAACAATATCTGTGTGTGGAATACTGTCTGGAGAAGCAGTCAGGGATTATTGAAAATACAGTATTTATGCAGTTTAAAAATCAGTGGCACATTACGCACAACTTTTTTCTAGAGTGATGAAAAATTACTGAAGTGCATTTGGGAACAAAGGGTATAAGGTCTTTTGTCTATTTGTAAGAACACTTGACTGGTAAGACTTCTTAGTGAGTTAGTAGTGATGGATGCAAGAAAAAGTGTCAACCGCAGTTGAGCATAAAGCCAGCGGCTTCTCCGACCAATGGGCAGAAAGGAAGACGTCACTGTTCAATGGTGGTCAGAGAAGAGGGAAGAAAATAAAATTGAAGAAAAGAGAAGGAAAATGAACCAAGGATCACTGATTTCTCTAAGCCATTTAAAACTACTGGAGAAGGAGGAAAAGTCTAAGGTTTCATCACACCACGTGTTGTTTCTTCATCTATCCGATATGTCACAGTTAGTTGGAAGACTTTCAGAAAACAGCCACTCCGAAAGAACAGCCACCTCCTCAGCATAAATCATTCTGGAGTTACTGAATTCAAGGGCTCAGTGCTGATTTACAGCAGCCACAGGTATGACTTTATACAAACCTCATCCTCCAAAACTCTATTTGAGTCCTTAAGGTCCTGTCATGACACAACCACCGTATTTTTCACCACAACACAAATGCAACAGACACCAGGACATCAGCCACAGAAAGGCTATCACTGAAAACAATTATGGAACCTATGCGACATACATCCTTCCATCAGATATAAAGAGGAGAAGATTCATTTCAATGTGTAAGTGCATCAGAGAAGCAAATGAGGATGGATGCTGTTGCCAGTGGTGTGACTCTGTGCAAAAAAAAAAAAACACACAAAAATTTGGCAGGTGTAAAGTAAATGAAAAGAAATACTTCCCACAGACCATACAAAATTAAAGTGCCAAATTCATTGATTGCTACAGAGAGATAAAAAGTGTGAAAAGCTTATGGAAGGGTTAGCTCAATTCATGGAGTGCAGGTCTGCTGCTGTTAACTGAAATGATGGTTCAGAGGCAATCAACAGCTCAGGACACCTTTGAATGCTGTAGGAGTGTGAGGATTTTGGACATACGAAATAGGATCACCCTACTCTTTCTCTGTTTCTCTTCTTGTTTCTCTAGCATCAGCTACTGTCCTGTTCCAGGGACAGGGAAGCAGCTCAGTGGTGTTGGTCTACTCCAGCAGGGCCATGTTAATGCCTGTGTGTGCACTCTACCTGCTACCGGAGCAAGGGAACAAGGAAGTGAGAGAAACATTGTCAAAACCACAGGGTAAATTCACCAACGCTTTCCTGGAAATTATTGCAGATTATAGTAATCCTTAGGACAGCCAAGAAACACTGGATATGAAAAGAAAAATTTATCTGCAGTAGTTTTAAATGAAGTAACACCGTGTGATGAGTTTGAAAGCAAACAAGGAAGCAAGTCTACAAAGGGCTTCACGACATGGCTGGGATGCAGGAATAGTTCCCACATGTGGTTCAGAAAGAAGAGGACAGCAAAGGCTCAATGGGAGGCCTGTGGAAAAAATCACAGACAGCATTTCTGAGAGGGAAGATAATTCTGTGGTTGGGGCAGAGAGAATTCCTTGTTCCTGTGAGGGAGCCAGCTGGTGAGCACCAAAGACAGCACCTCAGGTGACTCCTTGTACAACTTAGAGACATAAACAGGAGCAGAAAGTTACAATTAACTGCGCTCCTGAACCACGAGACTTCAGAATTACAAGCTTGCACTACTGTACAGTAACAGCCTTATGTTGCCACCGCACGACCAGCCTTCCAGAAAACAGCCACCATCTCGTAAACACCTACTTTCTGATGCCTAGCTTCCTTCCCAGCAGCAATCCACACCTCCTGGGTGCCTGCCCCAAGGCAAAGCGGTCCCAGACACCCTGGTGGGTGCACTTACCTCTTGCTTTCGACTCCGAGTAGGAGGGGATGTCCTCAGAGGTCAGGATTTGGGGGAGGCACGTGGGAGCGCCAACCCCCTGTCCCAGGTAGGAAGCGGGTGGGTAGTAGGAGCACATGCGGTACTGGGAGCTGACGGCGTGGCGGCTCTCCATGCCCTTCATCTGTTGGAGAGAGAAGTGCAACAGCAGCCTGTGAAAGCTGAGCCCCGGCACCGCACGGGCAGCCCACTGCCCCCCCCCAGCCCCCGGCTCTGAAGGAGGTCACAGGAGGCGGATGGGAAGTAAAATCCTGACACACTGGCCCTGGGTTTTTGCTTTGGTTGGCTCACAGCGTGCCCACATGGCTCAGCTACAAGTGAGCTGGCGTACGGGACGTGACCTAGCAGCAGCAGCAGCAGCAGCACTGGCATACTATGGCTGGTTTATTTTACCTCAGATGAAGCTGTGTCTGGCACACAAGCATGTACCCTGCACTGCAAGGAGCTTCCTGGCAAATCCCCTGCTTACAGCACAGACACCACCATGGGAAGCCTTCCAGACCCCTTCAACTGCACACACCTGGCCAGTGTCAGAGGTGAAGTGTCCATCTAGTCCCTACACCTCCCCAGAGACTAACCCGTCTCAGACTGGTGGTAACTGCTCTGCCAGGGACCTATGGGGTGGCTAAGGAGGACAGTCCTACCAACCGACTCACTTGGGACACATTCCACGGCATCTGAGCAGTGACACACGCCCACAAACACATTGCTTTTCTTACAACCCAGTGAGATGGAAAAATATTTTCCTGATTTACCTAGACAAACCAAGCTGTGGACAGGCTACATGGGAAGCCTGTAGTGGAGCCACAGCTGGACACCAGCCAGCAGGTCTGCTGTGCCAGCACGGTCTCCACCAGACAACCCCTTCTCCATCCCACAGTCTGCAGCAAAGTTGGCAGCACTCAGAAATCAGAGTTTATCCTACTCCGATGCCCTGAAATCATCCAAACTGATCTCCTCAGAGAGGCTGTAATGCTTTTTTAAATTTTTGTTTCATGAAAGAACTACCATCTACTGTTATTTGTTCCAAAGCCCTACAATGTAACGTGGCTAGGGTGCTCCAAAAAATGCATCCAAACACTTCACAAGATTAGGATTTTCAACAGGAAAGGTAACACTACCTCGTCTCCCTAAGTCTGCTGGGCAGTGAATGATTGTAAGATGGAAAGCTTCCGGGCAAAGAAAAAACATCACAGTTTTGTACCAGGTACAAAAGTAGCAGTGCCAACAGTAACGCACGTCCAGCTATGCCATTAGACGTCGTCTTCGCAAGCAGAAATGCTTGACAGCCTTTTCAGCCGCATCTCACCTCGGTTAGAGGAGCTCTGCTCGCTCCACTGCGGTTCCCTTGGGTCCCAGCTAGCCACATGTGTAGCCCTGCTCCTCAGCCCCTCCCAGGCCACGGATCTCAGACCCGGAGAGCAGCAGAGGCAGGGGATAAGCCTGCTGTCCCAGACAGCCGCCCTACGCCAGGAGAACCCCATGGTCTGGTCCTGGCAGAAGGAGCCACTGGCACCTCCCAGCAAAGCAGCCAGAATGCAGTCACCCCTTGTTTTCCAGGGGTCTCCTTAATAGTTCAATAATGATTTTAGTATGCCTAGCTGAAAACAACGTGGCCCGAGTCACATAAAATCCTGCTGGTGCTCTCTAAGACAGAGGGCTTTCCATGTGGAGCCAGGTTTGCAGCGAGATTAAGTGCCAAGAGAGAGCGGTAGCTGTTTACAGGAAGCAGAGTGCACCTCTGCCTGTCTTCTGACAACAGCACAGTCACACGTATTTGCACATGTACTGAGGGATCGGCAGGACACGCTTTTAGTCTGTGAAAGTAAGAGTTTTGCTATTATAAATCAAAGCAATACTTAAAAGGTGATTTTTCTACCATCTGCATCCTATGCATGCAGAAAAAGTTCAACATGCACCGAAGTTTCATCCATGATAAATAGTAAATTGCTCTTAAAAAAATTTAATGTGTCATCCCAAGGAAGCCTAAACTCAAAAGAGCCACTGGTGTCCCCTTTGCTGTTCTGAAAAATAGTAGTCTGCTCTTGGAAACAGACATCTGTGCTTTGCACAGACTCCCTCAACAAAACCCAAAATTGGCAATACAAACCGCCCAAAAGGTCAGTCCAAAGGCCATTTTGAATCTGCACATCCGCAAAGCTCAACAGCTCTAGGTACTGGGGAAACCCAAAATTGGCAATACAAACCGCCCAAAAGGTCAGTCCAAAGGCCATTTTGAATCTGCACATCCGCAAAGCTCAACAGCTCTAGAAGTACTGGGGAAAAAAAGTTAGCAAACTCCTCTCTGCCTGCCGTTTTGCACACACCGTCTTCCTTCCCTCAGTGGGGCAGGGCTGTGGGCAGCATCCATGGTCCTCACATCTCCACCTCTCCCTTGTGCAAGTGCACGTGTGCATGCATACAACTGAGAAAAGGTCGCCTGCAGGAGACAGCATTATTTCAGCTGGAACAAAATGGAGGGATAACTCCCTGGCACTGAAACGATCATGTGCATGTTTCCTCTCCCTGTAGAGTGGATGCAGTGACCTGTTTCCTTTCAAACCTTTTTTTAGGGTTTTTCTCCATTTCTTAAAAAAACAACTCACTTAAAATCTCTGGATGCAATGAATTATTACTACTATTATTATTAGTGTGTGGTAGCTGGCTAGCAAGAGACATGTTTTATAATCTTATTACCCACACCAAGTCTATGAACCACAGTTCGACCGACAACCAGAGGCTTGGCTCTGCAAAGAATATGCTGTGTATTAACCACTGAAGAAAATCTAAAAGGTTTTGGTTTTGTTTTATTAAACTGTTTAGAATACACACCACAGTAAATCTGAACCATAAGGTTTCCTTTTTATAGTGCTTAGCAATCCTATTTTACAGTAACAATAAAAAAACAACCAGTCGTAAAAATTCTTGACCTTAGCACTGCATTAAAAAGGGGGCTTAGGAGATCATTACCCCATGAGGAGGGGCATTTGCTCTGTATTAACTCCTGCAGCTCTGGAGAGTCCTTGCACATTTTTGGGTGCCAGAAAGGGAGATAAAAACAGCCCTGGGGAGGCCATGGAATATTCAGATTTTTTCTAACCTGGGGCAGTCCAGCCTTCCAAACGCTGCAGCCAGGTGCCAGGTTTGGGATCCTTCCCTGGGTCCTGTCCTGGGGGAATGCTGGGGTCATGAAGGGATCACAGGAGGAGATGCCTGGCCCTCTGGTGTCTCCTCCTGCCTCCCTCACCCCTTCCAGCCGTACAGCGAGGCCAAGACAGACAAGGGCTGGGACAGTCCCACAAGCCACTCTGGTTTGTATCACCACAGGCTATGCGCTGTAAGAACGAGGCATGTTTTAGGTGAGGAAGTGCTGTGGAAGGGAAGGGCATGCACTTGCTCTTTGCAGAGAGCAAGCTGAGCTCCTGAGTTGAACACCTGAGTTGCTCACTTACAGTGGCATCCCCTTCCAGCCACACATCGCTTGTGCCCTGCCCCAGCTGCAGGATCAGTTCACCGAGTACCTCACTGACTTCAGTGGGAGACACAGATCATCGGAGAAGCACATTTGGCCTATTCAACATTTACGGGTTCCCCTAAATTGTACAACACAGCACGCACTCAGTAACTTTTTAAAGGATGTACTGCCAGCAACAGTGGGATGCTTAGAACTCATGAACAAATAAATACGGCCTGATTAAAAGACCACACACGCAGTGGAAATTCTTTCTCTTGTAAAGCCAATATGGGGAACCAAGAGGCAGCTACAGCTTGTCCACAAACAGGCAAGCTGGAAGCAGGATTTGTCTGTCACTGAACACAACAGTCAGTGCAGCCCTACATCAGTGCCCAACAGTGACAGAATATGTAGCAAAAGCCAGGGAAGCATAAAGAAAATGCTCTTGCATCAGTTCAGACCATTCCTGCGAAAAAGCTTTCTCAACAGCTGGTGGAAGAGCAACGTAAAGCCCAGCTCCTCCTTCCAAGCTCCTGGCAGCGTCTGCATAACCTCTACACATCTTCTTCATGAAGGAAGAGCCGAGGAGAGGAGGTGGCCAGATCAGAGACAGAAAAGAGGCAAGGCAGGCACAAGTGGTGGCTCACTTCTCCCTCCAGCCTCAGAGACTAGAAAATGGTCCTGCCCTTCCCAGATTATTTATTCAGACAAAACATCACCCAGGTAATTATTTTATTTGCAGTAGCTGCCAGCCACAATCTCCTTGCGAGCAAGCCAGTGTTACTCTTAGCAGCACCTTCACATTTTGCAGTTGATACTGACTATGGGGCTTATTCCCAAGGACAAGTAGGAGGAGGTCGCGGATGATAATCCTGGGTGACAAGGGCTGCAAAAAATTCAGAGCAACAGAAGAGATCGAAGTACTATCCTTCGGCTCTGCCACTGGTGTGTCACGTGATCTCGGCCAAATCACTTCACCCACGCTTTCCATCCTTCTGTCTCACCCATGACTCACCAACAGCTGCCTTAAAACAAACCCCGTAATTATGGAAACACCAGAGAAACTCTGTTAAAAGTTTTAACATAGCCTCCTCCTTCTGCCTTGATCTTAAAAATAAAGCCAGCTTTAGGGGGCATAAAATTGCATTTTGCATTTATGTGTCATTGTTTGCAAACAACAGAATTTACACGTCAGTTTTTGGCATGAGGCGAGATGGCATCCGCTGGGCACTGGAGTGGAAATGCAGACATCAGGAACCTCCACCCTGTCACCTGTGGGCTGTGTGACCATGGGCAAGTTATTTAACACTTCCGTGCCTCAGTTTCCCCAGCTGCAAACCAGGGTTGCCGCTACCCTCCCACCCTGCAATACTACTGCCCATGAGCTGACCCCTCACAACTACTGCTGCAGTTGCGCTGCCCGAGGTGGCTTTGTTCTGTTCCTAAAACCAGCTAAGCATATTTTCCAGCACAAGGAAAAAACGAGTCTATGATACCCTACCTTGACTTACTTTGATTCTAGCACAGAAAATACAAGACACATCTATATCTGTCCCTCCTTGATAGACAAACTTAATTAACCTTTGCTATTCTGTTCCAACCTATTCTTTTAGACAAAGGCAGTGACCCATAAACAATATGTTACCATCAGAATCTCAACTGCGGTGACA